GATGACAGCTTTGTAGTAGAGGCTGAAGTCTGGGATGGTGATACCTCCCGTTTTGGTTTTATTTTTCAGTATTACTTTGGCTATTCGGGGTCTTTTGTGGTTCCATACAAATTGTAGGATAGTTTGTTCTAGTTTTGAGAAGTATGCTGGTGCAATTTTGATTGGAATTGCATTGAATGTGTAGAGTGCTTTAGGTAGTAATGACATCTTAACTATATTTATTTTTCCTATCCATGAGCATGGAATGTTTTTCCATTTCTTTGTGTCTTCTTCAGTTTCCATCATAAGTTTTCTATAGTTTTCATCATACAGATCTCTTGTATGGGATAAGGACTTTAAATCTCTGGTAAAACATTTTCTGTTTGTCAAGGGAGCAATTATATTTTAAGTTTTTCAAATCATATTTAAATTAACCAGCATGTGTATTTTAATTCATTTTACACTCTGGGATAAGTCTACAATTAGTAGGATTTGCTTAGGAACATGATATGATGGTTTCAGAATTATTCACAATATAAATAATTTATGAACTTTGTAATATCAGCTTTATGGTTTGGAAATAAGAAAAAATGCTATAATAGATAAAAATATATTATAGTTCAAATCCTTTTGAATAGTAATTTCTGTTGCCTTGATCATTTATGCTACAAATACTTACTGAGTACCTTCCTGATATAGGAGCTGCCATACTGTGATGAACTGAATATAGTTCCTACCCTAAGGCACTCCCTGCCCAGGGTGCAAGAATGCTGGGTAAATAGGCAACTGCCTGTTTGGAATCCTCCACGTGTTTGTGTGCCGTTAGTATTATTCACAGAAACAAACATGCTATATTGGGGTGTTAATCACCATATAGTCCCTGCTGCTTACAGCACATTTTCTCATATACTGTATTAGAACTTCTACTGTAAATTTCCCTGTCAAGAAACAGAAACCCTTCAGTATAAAACAGCATGTATCAAAGTGAATGTTCCATCAGTATAATATATATGTTTGCAATGTGTTTCAATGGTTTTCTTCCCATTTCCATGCCTTCCTGCCTCAGTCTTCATTCCCTAGTGCCCACATTATGGTCTCCTACATGGTGTTTTCCCTCAGCCTCATTGCACTCAGTTCTTCCTGGCATGTAAATTTATTATTTCAGGTGTACTTAGAGTCCTGTTTCCACAAGTACATTTTCCTGGCCACTCCCAATGACACTTATTTCTCTGAACTGTGGGTTCTTTTATCTGTACACTTTAGTACTAGGTCCTGGACTAACTCATTTTGTTGGAAAATTGTTTTATGTGCATATTTTGCCTTCCAGATACAGCAAGAAGCTCCTTTTGGACAGGGAGCCATGTCTTATGAGCTCTGACTAAACTGGTAGGTAAGTCTTATGAGTGTCTTATGAAATTTTACTTAAATTAGAACCCTCAAAGCATTAGGCGTAGTACTGAGCATCCCATACAAATTCAAAAGTCACATACTGAAAGGCTACAACCAAGTTGTTCTAATGTCAGTGTATACTAGTTCAATGTAATACTCAAGGAGAATTACTAAGGCAAATTTTTTGATCAGGAGTTACTTACTAAGGCAAATTTTTTGTTGAGAATCATCTGCTCCACCAAAGATGACTCATTATGGAAGAGGTGGGGTTGCATATGGCTCCACATATGAGGAAACCACCAAAACTCATCTACAGACCCCAGAAGATGGTCATCCCCTTCATCTTCTTCTTCACTTCCTTTGGAGGAAAAAAGATTATTCAGTTAATTCCACTTAGAATGATTGTGTCTGTCTGTCTGTCTTTCTGTCTATCCATCCATCCATCCAATTATGTACACACATGTATGTATTTAGAAGACACTATTTATACTCTTTTTGATACATGTAAGGCTTTGAACATGAAATGTAGGCAAAGTAAAACCTGTTCCTGTTACTTGGGGAACAATAAGAGACTGTGACAAAGCTCTTTTAAAAGTTTTTCAACATGAGACATAGGTACAAAATCACTGCAAAATGGAAATACACAACTATCCCCAAGGACGTTAGAACTCTGTTAGTGTATTTGTATAACCTGTAGTTTGGAGAAAATGGAGGGATGAGTAGGAAGTTGAACCAAGGGAATATGAGTAAAGAAACGAGTGGCAGAGCTATATAGCAGGTCTTTCTGACATAGGTTGTGACACCAGAGTCACAAAGAAATAATTCCATAATTTATTTGGGTTCCTCATTAGCTCTGAGAAGAAGTTACTCAGTATTTAGTGAAAACTAAGGCACAAACAAGGAGGAAAAAGGAAATGTAGGAACTGTTTTGGGTACATTAGAGAAAACGGAAGGGAAGAAAGGAGACAGGATGAAAGTGAAGGAGAGAGGCTGAGAAGTGGTGAAGTCACAGTAAAACAAGCCAAGCAGGTCCTTGGTGGACTCATGTTTCTCATGCTTGACCTTCTCCTCAAGTTCCTGGAAGCAGACTTTCCATCAAGAAACTCCTGTTTCTGGGGTGTTTGGGTGGTTCAGTTGGTTAAGCATCCGACTCTTGATTTCAGCTCAGATCAGGATCTCCCGGGTTCTTGAGATCAGTCCCATATCTCAGGCTCTGTACTGACAGTGTGGAGCCTGCTTGGAATTCTCTCTCTTTCTCTCTCTCTGCCCCTCCCCTGTTTGCACACATGCACGTGCTCTCTCTCTCTCTCTCTCTCACTCTTTCTCTCAAAACAAATAAACATTAACAACAGCAACAATAACAAAGAAACTCATATTTCCTTCAGAGGCAACCCTGTTGTTATTCCTCTGATTTCTTCTTTTATAGGCATTTTTTACTTCCTCTATTTCCCCTGACCGGCAGTTTAGCTGAGTATGGGAAATTCTACAGTTTTCTTGAGGGGTATGGGACTCTCTTTGTTCTTTACTAAAACATGAAATGAGAGCACTATAAGGTGCCTCACCACTTTCCTGGCAGATGATGATATTAATCATCACAAAGTTATGCAACCACACTGATATTTCAGCCACAACACTGAATCTAATAAACTCCTAGGATACAGAATAGTAGGTTTTTCAAATGATGTGCCCTCTGTGTGGAAAAAAAATCTTCTCTAATATTTTCAAAAATTTCATTTTTCTGATATGACTGGTTTCCATAGTCCCCTACAGGCTAAAGAGGGAGGGTGGACTGCTGCTCTGCCCAGCCAACTAAGCTCATGTCTGATACTACTGCTATTACATGCCTTTTCCCAAGAGAAGGAAGACAGTGGCCATTGGCAGGAAAAGAATTAGATCCTATGATTTACTGGGCAAGGAAATTGACTTACCATTGAGGTGCACGCTCATTCTAATTTATATAGGAAGAACAAGTATTAGTAATGTAGGATGAGTAGAATAACATAATACTTCAACATGGACAGACTTCAATTTCACTTTCATATTGTTAAATACTTGTTGATGTAAATGAACTTTTTTCTTTATATGTACAGGGCACCTTTAAATTTAATCTGTTTTATTGCCCTAATTTTTTTCCTCTTTATCACACACTCATGTTACCATAATATAGTGGAACAAGGATAGCCTTTAGAGTCAGAGAAGTTTTTAGTTTACTTATAGGTTCCAACACATTTGAATTGTGTGATTATAGGTAAGTCACATAACCCCTTAATGTCTGTATTTATGTAGGTAAAAAGATGGATCCCAATACCTATTTCATTCTTTTTGGGAGAAAGTGGCACTATAATCCTGGCACATACTGGGTAATCTAAAATGCCTTTTTCCTTTCTTTTTATATTTCCTACTCTTGCTCTCCTTGTGTCTTATTTCAGGTCTCCTTGAGTTTTGTTTCATTTTTTTCCACAATGATACTCCATGAGAGTATAGTGCAAGGCCTCACCTGTGTGTTTTGTGGCAGATGTGACATAATGCTCAAGACCAAGCCATCATAATTAACTGCCTGGCCTGATTAATGAGTCACCAGCTTGGGACTTCTGAGTGATTATTTTACAGCTCCTGGAAGACTTCTAGAGAGCAATGCAAAGTAATAGGAATATGGAGTCAGGGTTTAGAATCTCTGACAACCTCAATCATTGCAGGGTTTTGAGTCTTGTTACCTTTTAGGTGATAAATATGGTGCCCTGGTGAAGAAACATTTGTTACATGTGACTGGCAATGCTAAAATACATATTTTTCTTCTTTGGGAGGGGGAGTGGACACAAGAATGATATCATTTAGTTTCCCCACTATTAAACATCTCTACTTACACCCAAGAGACTCTCCTCTTGCTTAACATTTTGCATGTCCTCAGGACACCATAGTAGTGAAGATTACTATCAGTTATTTATTGGAATTTTACTCTCCCACACTGAAAAGAGGCATGAGTCTCTTGGGGTTTCCCAGTAATCAGTTCATTCCTGGATTCTACCTTTTGTCAAGCATTGTGTTAACTGTTTTATAAGCACCATCTCATTTAATTCTCACTACAACCTTATGAGGTAAGGGCCACTGCTAACTCTATTCTTCAAATAAGGGAATTGATATTTGGAAAGGTGAAATAATTTGTCCTGAGTCACTGACAAGGTTGGTACAGAGCCTGGTTTCTTACTGGACATTTTTATTGTGAGATGTGGGAAGTGCTCAAGTAAGGAAAGAGGACAAATACTTCAGAAAAAAAAAAGGAACGAGAGCAACTGCCTACAGACATTTTTTAGCATTCAGCATTGGGCAAAAAATTGAGTTGCCAGAAGTATTTTTTTCTATTTCTGTTTTGGGAAAGAATGTTTTTAATTATTCTTAGTATTTAGGGTGATTTTCTTTCACAACACAACATGGTCAAGTTTTAGTCCCTGACTTATAAATTCTATTTTTTTTTAATTTAGAAATTTGTTTTATTTATTTTTTTATAATTTATTATCAAGTTAGTTAAAATACAGTGTAGTTTTGGCTTCAGGAGTAGATTCCCATGATTTATCATTTACATATAACACCCAGTGCTCATCCCAACAAGTGCCCTCCTCAATGCCCATCACCAATTTTCCCTTCACTCCCCCCAACCCTTATCAACCCTCAATTTGTTCTCTGTATTTAACAGTCTCTTATGGTTTGCCTCCCTCTCTGTTTGTAACTTATTTTTCCTTCCCTGGCCCTATGGTCTGCTGTTAAGTTTCTCAAGTTCCACATATAAGTGAAAACATATGATATCTGTCTTTCCCTGACTGATTTATTTCATTTAGCATAATACTTTCCACTTCCATCCACATTGTTACAAATAGCAAGATTTCATTCTTTTTCTTTTCTTTTTTTAATGTTTATTTGTTTTTGAGGGAGAGAGAAAGTGAGCAAGTGCACTAGTGAGGGGAGGGACAGTGAGAGGAGACACAGAACTGAAGCAGGCTCCAGAGCTTGACATGGATTTGAACCCATGAACTACCTGAGCCAAAGTCAGACACATAACCAACTGAGCCACCCAGGAGTCCCAAGATTTCATTCTTTTTCATCAGTGAGTAGTATTCTCTTGTGAATGTGTGTGTATGCATGTGTGTGTGTGTGTGTACATATGTCATAAATATATATATACACCACTTTTTCTTATCCATTCATCAATTGATAGACATTTGGTATCTTTCCATATGACCTCTAAATTCTAACCCAGATTAAACAACTCCAAATTCAGGGCCCTTAACTATCATTCATTGACCAAACCTGGAATTTAGAAATAAGATCAGTATTTACAAATTCAATATAATATTGCCCTTCATATTGTTAACTAATTCTGTAATATAGTTAGAATTTACCAAGATTGTTGGTTCTCCATGATTTGGGGAAATATACAAACCTATAGAACCTACAGATAAGGGGAAGGAACCTTTTTGCCATTCAGCTTCCTTTATCAAGGATTGCCAATTGAATAATAAAAGTACAATTTATTTAATGCATAAGATTTGGGCTCTGCCTGACCTAAAGTTAAGACTACTTTTGGCATGTAACTAGCTGTATGGCCTTGGGCTTCTCTAAGTTTCTATGTTCTTATCTAAAAAACAAGGTAAGATATTCTTCAATATATTCTTCAATAAGAATTCAATGAATTCCTAGGATTCATTGAGAAGGTACACGAAAAGTGCTTAGCTAAATACCTAGAATATGGTGTTGCTCACTAGAAAGGAACTATGATTTTATGACCTTAATCTTTTGATTTCTCAAAAAATCTATAAACCCTTCAAAAACTTAACTATATGAAGCAAGATGGAACCATTTCCTGAAAGAAAGTCTTACTATTATGACACTACTATTTTTCTCCTTCCCTTTGAAATTGAATAAAATAGTCTTTAATGGAATAAAGAGTTACTCATTTAGAAAGAAAGACAATATAATTCAATTAAACTTTACAATATCTAATTTTTTTTTAATGTTTTATTTATTTCTAGGAGAGAAAGAGAGAGATAGTGTGAACAGGGGAGGGTCAGAGAGAGAGGGAGTCACAGACTGAAACAGGCTCCAGGCTCCGAGTTGGCAGTCAGCACAGAGCCCGACGCGGGGCTCGAACCCACGAACTGCGAGATAATGACCTAAGCGAAAGTCGGACGCTTAACAGACTAAGCCACCCAGGCGCCCCTACAATATCTAATTTTTTAAAGATTCAGAGTATTAAACTTTATATCTATTCTCACTAAAAAATGACTTTATTGGTTTTAGATAAGCCTAGCTAAGTTTTTGTGGAAGATTTCATATCATATGCAGATAACAAGATCCTTTCAAGCCTTGGCCTTAGCTTTCTCCTGTGTTCTACTTTCTTTGGCTTAGGTAGTGGCCATTTTTACTGTGAGCTGTGGGAAATGCCCAAGTAGGGGAAGAGGACAAATCTCTCAGAAACAAAAAGGAAGGAGAGTAATGGCTAGAGCCGATCTTTAGCATTCAGCATTAGGCAAAAAATAAGTTCCCAGAAGTGTTTTCTTATTTTTATTTCTATTATGTTTGGGAAGTAAAGTTTCTAGTTATTCTTAATATTTAGAGTGAGTTTATTTCACAATGTAATATGGTAAAATTTTATTGTTTGATCTTGTTTCAAATAAATACTAATAGTTAAATGTTTTTTTTTTTTACTTTCACTGAATCATTTGTTCATTAATTCATTTTCAATAATCGTTCTAGTTGCTGATGTTAAAACAGTGAAGCCTTCATGGAGTGTTCATTTTAGTAAGAGAAGAGATGCAACAGATAAATAATTTAAAGACAAAGTGCACCCGCTCATAATAAAACTCTTAGCAATCTAGGAATAGGAGGAGCTCCTTTAAGCTAATAAAGAGTGTCTACAAAATAGTCTGTTGAAAGAATTCCCCTTGAGAATAGGAAAAAAAATCTACTGGAAGATTTCCCCTAAGGTCAGGAATAAGACATGTCATCATCACCACTTTTATTTAATGTTGTACTGGTGATCTAACCCAGTGCAATATAGGTAAGGAAGAAAATTCGTAAGGCTCAGAAAGGAAGGACAGTTTTAGTATCCAAAATTTACATGATTGTATAAGTAGAAAATAAAATTTAAAAAGACTTACAAACTACAGAATTAATAAATGAACACAGCAAGGTTGCTAGATACAAAATCAGTACACAAAATTAACCATATTTTTACACACCATCAACAAAGAAATGCAAAATGAAATAACAAACAAGACACCACTTGATATTGCATCAAAAAACCCCACCAAAGAATGAGTCTAAAAACAGTAACGTTTTATCAAGTGCAATTAAAGATGACCTAAATGTATTCAAAAATTGGAAGACTCAATATTTAGGATGGCATTTCTACCCCAAATTAATAGGTTTAATACAGTCTTAATAAAAATTCTAGCAATTTCTTTGTGGATATTGGTAAAGTGATTCTAAAAATCTATATGAAAATGCACAGGGCCAAGAATTTCCAAGGCAATCTTGAAGAAGATGAACAAAACTGGAGAACTTACACTAGCAGATATTAGTATTAATTATAGAGTTACAGTAAATAAGATACTGTGATATATATAAATAGATCCAATGAACAGGAGAGTATAGAGTCCACATATATGGTTATGTATGACAATGATGACACCATGATGCAGTGGGGAAAGGATGGTCACTTAATACTTGGTGCCAGTTAGATCTGTCTATATGGAAAAAAGAAGATATCTTGACCTCTATCTCATACATACAAAAAAATCAGCTCCATATAGATTTGGGATTTATAAGTTTTAAGAACATAGAAACATATTTTTATAATCTTATAGTATGCAAAAATTAAAAAGACACAAAAAATCTACCATAAAGGAACAAAAAGATGAACTAGACTACATTAAGTATTTTTGGTCATCAAAACACACCATTAGGAGTGTGAAAAGAAACCCATACAATAGGAGAATGTATTTGCAACACATATAACTGATGAAGGGCTCATTAAGAATATATAAAGAAAAAGAAAGAAAAATAATATGTAAAGAATTTCTACAAATTATTTTTTGTAGAAAATGCATGCAACCTAATAGAAAAAAAAACTCAGTTCACAAAGAGGATCTCCAAATGGCCAATAAATATATGAAATAAGCTCAAGGTTACTGCTCCTGAGAGAAATGTACATTAAAACCATAAAATATCTCTACGTTTTCACCAGAAAGGCTAAATTTAAAAAGACAAACAATATCATATGTTAGTGAGAATGTGGAAAACTCATATACTGTTGAGAATGTAAATCAGTACAATCATTTTGAAAACCTGGCATTTTTCTACTACAGTTGGCCATAAGCGTGCTATATAACTAAAAATTCTACCCCTACTTGATAAGCAACAGAAAAAATAGTTATGATCTCTGAAGGACAGGCACAAAAATGTTCTTAACATGATTATTGAAAAAAGCTAAAGACTAGAAAAAAAACATCTACATGGAAAGGAATGGAATAAAGAAATTTTGGTATATTCAAACAATGAAATGCTATAAGGCAATGAAAATGAACGAATTACAACTATACACAATAATATCTGTAAAACCAGAATAATATTGAACAGGGATGCCTGGGTAGTTCATAGGCTAATAAAACAAGCTGAATATAGAAGAGCCTATACTGTATGATTCCTTTTATATAAATCTCAAAGACGTGCAAACTAGTTTATGATATTAGAAGTTAAGATAGTCATTTTCTTTGAGAGACGCTGGTGACTGAGGAATCACAAGTTGGGTGGGTGTGGGGATTCTGGTAGTATTCTCTCTTGATTTGCATGCTGGTTTGTTAAAATTCATTGAGTACCACACTTACTACTTATTGCACTTTTATATATGTAAGTTATACTTCAATAGAAAAGGAAGGCCATTAGATAATGACATGATGAATAAATGTTCAAACCATAAATATTTTGTAAAGGTTGAAAAATGATATGTTAAAGGGCACCTGGGTGGGTTAAGCATCCAACTTTGGCTCAAGTTATAATCTCACCTTTCTTGGGTTTGAGTTCCATGTCGGGCTCTGTGCTGGCAGCTCAGAACCTGGAGCCTGCTTCAGATTCTGTCTCCCCCTCTTTCTCTGCCCCTCCCCCACTCGTGCTCTGTCTCTCTCAAAAATAAATAAACATTAAAAAATGATATGCTAAATTGAATCGAATAATATGAAGAAAATAAAATAGGAGAAAGACATGGAATGTAGGAATGTATAAGAAAAGGGGTCACAAATTTATTTATTTATATTTATTTATTTATTATATTAAATTTATTTAATTAAATTCAGGTTAGTTAACATACAGTGTTGTATTGGTTTGAGGAGTAGAACCCAGTGATTCATGACTTACATAGAACACCCAGGGCTCATCTCACCAAGTGCCTCCTTAATGTCCATCACCTGTTTAGCCTATCCATCCCACCCACCTCCCCTCCAACAACCCTAAGTTTGTTCTCTGTATTTAAGAATCTCTTATAGTTTGGCTTCCTCTCTGTTTTTATTTTATTTTTAAATAGAGTAGTCATAGAGGCCTTTTGAGAATAATTAACCTCCTTTTTCTTACCTGTATGATAAAATTTTCCTGAAAATCCAAGGTTGAACGTAAAATTTGTGATTTGTGCACGCAAAAGATTCTGAGTGTCAAGCAGGGCCTGGAATACATAATTAAAAAACAAAAATCAGCTTGGAGAATGTCACTGAGAGGTTTTAAAAGATATCTTCTTTTTGCATTCAAAGGGTAGAACTACTCCTTTATACATGAGAGAATTAAATGATGGAAAGTAGTGTCTTTACCAATTTATAACCAGAGAGATGCTTTCAAGATTACATACACATATACATATATTTATCCTTCAGCTTGCAATAAATTAGTAAAAAGTGTCAGCTAGAAAAAGGAAGTGACATGAAAAGTTTATTTTGCATGTATTAAAGGAAGTATTATCTAGAACATAAAATATATCTCCTTTCATTTCTCAGGGACATGGATCACCAGTTGTCAAAAGAAGGACACTCTTTAAGTGAAACTATGCAAGAACATATGTTGAAAGGAAACCTTGTTATTTCTCAGATATGCCTTTGGTCTTCAAAATCCTAGACTTTTCAATCTTTAAGTCTTAGATTCCCACAAGACAGTAATTGTTCTTCAAATAGGGATATCATGATAAAGTAAATCTCTAATTTGGCCTTTCATTAAAAAACAAACAAACAAACAAATAGCCCTTCTTCTGGAGGCAAAACTCTTTTAAAACAGAGTTTTAATTATTACATCTTATAAAGTATTTACTGTGCTTTGAATGAAAAGCAATTTTTTAAGTTTATTTATTTATATTGAGAAATACAAAGACAGGGTAAGCAGGGGAGGAGCAGAGAGAGAAGGAGAGAGAGAGAATCCCAAACAGGCTCTGCACTGTCAGCACAGAGCCCGATGTGGGGCTTGATCTCATGAAATCATGAGAACATGAGATCATGACCTGAACTGAAACTGAGGGTTGGATGCTTAACTGACTGAGCCACCCAGGCAGCCCACGCTATGAATTTTTAATGGACTTCTTTTCTTTCTCATTCTTATTTAAATTCCTATTCTTTTAAAAAAATTTAATGTTTTATTTACTTCTGAGAGAGAGAGAGAGAGAGAGTGAGCAGGGGAGGGTCAGAGAGAGAGGGAGATACAGAATCTGAAGCAGGCTCCAGCCTCTGAGCTAGCTGTCAGCACAGAGCCCTACATGGGGCTCGAACCTACGAACTGTGATATCCTGACCTGAGCCACCCAGTTGCCCCAAATTCCTATTCTTATATTTCTTTTCTCCCTGCCACCCTCCCTACACAGATAACTAGGCAGAAAGTAACACTATATGCTAGATTTGTAAAGGATCTTAGTTAATACTTTCATGCACGAGGAAACTGAGAAAAAATGAGCTGCCCATTTTCACAGATAAAATTAGTGGTAAATTGTAGACTAAGGATATAGATTGCCTGATTCCATATTAGGCACTCTTTTTCCCCCTTTCCATAGTACAAGTGGGCCCACAATAAAATCTTTTTTTAGCAGCATAACCGACACCTGGAAAACTTGCCCCATCATGTTCAAGGTCTCAGTCTTTTTTGGGGAGATAAATAGATATACCTTTTGTTCAGAGATTATCCCATGATTATATGCCTTATCTGTGGATATAAGTGATTCTCCTTATTGTGTAAAAACAGAGGAAGAAGACTTCTGAATCTCTATTTAAATTCATCTGACCACTGGGAAGTTTTTGAAATTTAGGTATCTAAATCTTCTTTTTGTATCACTACTCTGTTTACATGAACGACTTTGATTGAACAACTGAACCATAAAACATGTGGATCCTGAGGAAAGACAGGTTTGTTTGTGGATTTCCACACCTAAGTATAGAAACAAAAGGGTTAATGATGGCAGTGTCATTAGGGGCAGGTTAGATTCTGTCATCAAAAGGTCTGGGCATGGGTTGGGCAGGGAAAGGAGGATTTGGCCAACTCAGCAGTGACAAAGTGAGTAATATGGACACAGTCTTATTGCTTAAATGGGTGAGGAGTGGTGTTGCCTGGATGTAAGGTGTGAGCCTTCCTCCTTTTGTCCTTATGGAAGGAGCATAAGGTATGCAATTAGAAGGTATGGAAATATTTATTATTTATTTATTCACTTAATTAAAGTTTTTATTTATTTTGAGGGGGGGGAGCACAAACTGTGAGATCATGACCTGAGCTGAAACCAAGAGTTGGACACTTAACTGAATGAACCACCCAGGTGCCCAGAAGGTATGGGTTTAAACGCCATCTCTGGGACTTATAGTGAAGTCATGTAAGACTTGGGAGTCAGATTCCCTCAGCTGGAATTCTGGATCTGTCTCTATTCAGTATTGGGCATGTTATTAACATTTTTAGACCTCAGACTCATCACATGTAAACTATGGATAATAACAATTACCTCAAAGCACAGTTGTGAGGGTTACATGCTTTTATGCTCTTGGCATAGTGACTGGCACATAATAGGTGCTCAACAATTATTAGTTGTTCCTCCTCTCTTATTGCAGCTGCTACTATCAGTACTATTAATATGGTTGTTGTTATTGTTAGTGATGGTAGACAATTCATATTCTCTGACTTTTCCCTTCATTTATTAGAGTGGAGATAATTATCTAACTCACAGAATTGTGATGACGATTCTAAAAGGGATAATATATGTAGGAGTGCTTGATAAGTTTTTTTTTAAAGTGGCATAAAATATGAGGTGTTGATATAATTATCAGGAATTATATATTTTATGTATATAATTATATATTACTGATAATTATATCATTTGTCTCATTTACTTAAAAATTGTTTTTCTAATTTCTCATTTACCTTCAGTCTCCTCTAGCCTTCCCTCTCTCCTTCTTTTTCATTTCTTCTCCCCAGTAGAACATTCTAGCTGGCTCTTTTTATTTTTATTTTTCCTTCCCCTTAGATCTTGTCTTCTTCTTTATCCACCTTAATTTATTCATTTGCTCACTTTATTCAGTGGTTAAAATATAGACTTGATATCCATTTTAAAATAATTTAAAATAATATTTAAAATAATTTCTTGTGTGTTCATTGCTTTAATCTTAAAGTTGGAAGATTTTTCTTTTTGTTTGTTTGAAAATAAAATCCTCAGCTAAGCTTGAGTTTTGCTATATGACCCTTGATTGCCTTTTAAAACAAACATTTACAATACTTGATAAGAAAGCAAAAGAACAAACAAACAAACCTATCCTGTTCTTTAGCCTTAGAAGCCAAATTATATACCTGTGAACTAACCTCTAAATCAACTAGAATATGTTGATTCAAATTACCGAACTAGCCATGATTATTCAGGTTTCAGTTGGCATCTTACACATGTATTTGACATTCTAGAAACAAACACTAAAACACATAAAAGATATACTGAAACAGATAGTAGATACAAGCATTATGCCTGTATCTGGTGAAAAGAGAAATTTATTTCTAGATGTTGTTTATATACTTAATATAAACCCATAGTATCTCTTATACTGTTGTTTTTAGAAGCCATATTTTGGAAAACAATGTTATATATTCATCCACTACTTTCATCTTTTCAAAATATGCTTCTGAAGTGCTACAAGCTAGAACACCGAGCAATATTCTTAGATTCTATCCTTTTCATTGAATTCTTCATTGCTAGAATGATTTTATTCAGCATTAGTCTATTTAAAACTGAGCTAGTCTATTATTGCTATAAACAAAGTATTATAAAAATAATATAAATGATTCTTTATTTTCTATGTGTAACATGTCAAAAATGGTGTGGTAATATCTAAAAATATAATCATAATAAGCCAAATCAATGTTCTGGTATCAAATTCAGAAAACCAACTGCATTTTGGGCAAGTAAACCCTCTCTGATGTGCAGAGTATGTTGGTCATGGAGGAGGTAAAGAATCACAACCCCTTGCAGAGGTACCATTTAGTGGTCTCCAATTCAAGAACCCTAAGAACAGATTTCTGTTGTCAGAAAAAGTCTGGTTATTGAAAAATGGTACTTTTATTTTTAACTGTTCCAAAACTTTCTATATATTTAGGTAGGTAATTTCTATAAAATTGGTAAGGTAATTTACAATTCCATGCATCATTAATTATTTTTAAAATAACACATTATTAACCTTACACCTAAAGGAGCTAGAAAAGGAATAGCAAATAAAGCCTATGCCAGCAGAAGAAGGGAAATAATAAAGATTAGAGCAGAAAAAATGGTATATAAACAACAACAACAACAAAACCAGTAGAGGGGAACCTGGGTGGCTCAGTTAGTTAAGCGTCCAACTTCAGCTAAGGTCATGATCTCATGGTTCATGAGTTTGAGCCCTGGGTCAGGCTGTTTGCTGATAGCTCAGAGCCTGTAGCCCGATTCAGATTCTGTGTCTTCCTCTCTCACTCCGCTCCTCCCCTGCTCACACTTTGTCTCTCTTTCTCTCAAAAATGAATAAACTTCAAAAACAAACAAACAGTAGAACAGATCAACAAAACTAAGAACTGGTTCTTTGAAAGATTTAAAAAAATTGATAAAGCCCTAGCCAGACTTATCAAAAAGAAAAAAGGACCCAAACAGATAAAATCACAAATGAAATAGAGACCACAACTGACACCATAGAAATACAAACAATTATAAGAGAATACTATGAAATATTATATGCCAACAAAACTGGGAAATCTGGAAGAAATGGACAAATTCCTAGAAACATACTGAAACAGGAAGAAATAGAAAATTTGATAGGCCCATTACCTGCAAAGAAATTGAATCAGTCATCAAAATCTGTGCCAAAAGGCTTCCCAGGGGGAATTCTACCAGATATTTAAAGAAGGGTTAATACCTATTCTCAAACTGTTCAAAAAAGTAAAAATGGAAGGAAAGCTTCCACACTCATTCTATGAAGCCAGCATTACCTTGATTCTAAAACCAGACAAAGACCCCTCTAAAAAGGAGAATTATAAGCTAATATCCCTGATGAAACTGGATGCAAAAATTCTCAAAAAGATACTAGCAACTGAATTCAACAGTATATTAAAAGAATTATTCACCTTGATAAAGTGGGATTTATTCCTGGGCTGCAGAGCTGGCTCAATATTCACAAACAATCAATGTGATATACCACATTACTAAAAGATAGGATAAGAACCATATGGTCCTGTCAACAGATGCAGAAAAAGCATTTGACAAAATACAGCATCGTTTCTTGATAAAAACCCTCAAGAAAGTAGGGATAGAAAGAATATACCGCAACATCATAAAAGCCCTATGTGTAAAACCCACAGCTAATATCATCTTCGATGGAGAAAAACAGATCTTTTCCTCTATGGTCAGGAACATGACAGGGATATCCACTCTGACCAGAGTTGTTCAACACAGTACCAGAAGTCCTAGCCTTAGCAATAAGCAACAAAAATAAATAAAAGGCATACAAACTGACAAGAATGAAGTAAAGCATTCTCTCTTTGCAGATGATATGACACTCTATGTGGGAAACCCAAAAGACTCCAACAGAAAACTGCTAAAACTGATACATTAATTCAGCAAGTCACAGATTATAGAATCAATGTACAGAAATTGGTTGCATTTCTAGACACCAATAATAACGCAGCAGAAAGAGAAATCAAAGAGTTGATACTATTTACAATTGCACCAAAAACTGTAAGATACCTAGGAATAAACCTAACCAAGGAGGTAAAGGATCTGTATGCTGAAAACTATAGAAAGCTTAATGAAAGAAATTGAAGACATAAAGAAATGGAAAAGCATTCCATGTTCATGGATTGGAAGAACAAATATTGTTAAAATGTAGATAGCACCCAAAGCAATCTACACAGTCAGTGCAATCCCTATCAATATAGCATCAACATTATTCACAGAGCTGGAACAAACAATTCTAAAATTTGTATGGAACCACAAAAGATCCCAAATAGCCAAAGTAATGTTTAAAAGGAAATCCAAAGCTGGAGGCATCACAATTCCAGATTTCAAACTGTATTACAAAGCTGTAATCATCAAATAGAATTGTACTGGTACAAAAGCAGACACAGAGATCAATGGAACAGAATAGAAACAGAATAGAGAAACAGAAATGTACTCACAAATGTATGCCCAACTAATCTTCAACAAAGCAGGAAAGAATATCCAATGGGAAAGAGTCTCTTTAGCAAATGGTACTGGCAAAACTGGACCACTTTCTTACACCATATTCAAAAATGTATTAAGAATGGATGAAAGACCTAAATGTAAGACAGGAATCCATCAAAATCCTAGAGGAGATAACAGGCAGCTGCCTCTTTGACTTTGGTTGCAGCAATTTCTTACTAAACATATCTCCAAAGGCAAGGGAAACAAAAACAAAAATGAACTATTGAGACCTCATCAAGATAAAAAGTTTCTGCACAGTGAAGGAAACAATCAACAAAACTGAAAGGTAATTTTTGGAATGGGAGAATATATTTACAAATGACATATCAGATAAGGGTTAATATCCACAAATCTATACAGAACTTACCAAATTCAACACTCAAAAAAGACAAATAATCCAGTGAAGAAAAGGGCAAAAGACCTGAATTGACACTTTTCCAAAGAGGACATCCAGATGGCTAACAGACACATGAAAAGATGCTCATCATCACTCATCATCAGAGAAAAACAAATCAAAACCACAATGAGATACCACCTCCCATCTGTTAGAGTGGCTAAAATAAACAACTTAGGAAACAGATGTTGGTGAGGATGCAGAGAAAGAGGATCTCTTTTGAACTGCTGATGGGAATGCAAACTGGTGCAGCCACTCTGGAAAACAGTGTGGAAGTTTCCTCAAAAAATTAAAAATAGAACTACTATAAGACCCATGAATTGCACTACTAGGTATTTATCCAGAGGATACAAAAATGATGATTTGAAAGGGCACACACACCCTAATGCTATCAACAATAGCCAAATTATGGAAGGAGCCAAATGTCCATTGACTAATGAATGGATAAAGAAAATGTGATACACACACACGCACACACACACACTGGAATTTTACCTGGCTCAAAAAGAATGAAATCTTACCATTTGCAACAGTGTGGATGGAACTAGAGGATATTATGCTAAGTGAAATAAGTCAGGGAAAGACAAATATCATATGATTTCACTCATATGTGGAATTTAAGAATCAAAACAGATGAACATAGAAGAAGGGAAGGAAAGATAAGATGAAAAGAGAGAGGGAGGCAAACTATAAAAGCCTCTCAAATATAGAGAACAAACTCAGGGTGTCTGGAGGGGAGTTGGGTCAGTGGATGAGCTAAATGGGTGATAGGCATTAAGGAGGGCACTTGTGATGAGCCCTGGGTGTTATATGTAAGTGATGAATCACTAAATTCTACTCCTGAAACCAATACTACACTATACGTTAAGGAACTGAATTTAAATAAGTAAAAAGTAAATAAAATACATATTACTTTTTCTAGTTAAAAAAATTAAAATCACTAATAAATCCATCTCTGAAGAATGAATTCTTTCCCAATTTTACAAAAAATGACATACATCTAAGTATACACAGAAATATAGATATATAGGTAAGTGAGATTAGAGCCATAAAGCAAAAATTAGAACTGTACCTATTATTACTAAAAATACAGAGTTTTGAATTTTGCCTTTGTCATCTAATAGTACATTATGAGCTTTCTCCGTTCACATTAACCTTCCAAATCCAAATTGGTTAATGGGTGCAGAATAATGCATCAAATAGGTACCTTATAATTTATTAACCATTTCATCTTACTGTTGTACCTTTGGGTTGTTTATAATCTTTGTCTAATATAAATACTGTTCTATATACCAATACATATTTATAAAACAATGAAGTAACCATTTTTGCAGGAGATAAGAATAATTCTGTTTAATCTTTGGCAGACAAAACAATTTTCCAGCAAATTTGAAGATGCTTATGAAAGTATTAAAAAAGAACATAAGATTCATTTAAAACTATAAGAGAATTGCACTTTGAATATAGTTTAAAATGAAAATTTGACTATTTCCAAAATGATTTTTTTCAAATCTTGATTCTGTGTGCTACCCCATTAACTTAGTTTCTTGAGGCTTCATTCTACAAAGCCAAAAACACTTGCAGGCATTAAAAGATCTATTTGAAGGCCAAGAAGATCTAATTTAAAGAAACTGAGCTCTGAGAACTAAGCAAAATGGGAGCTTTTATATATCTTTGGATTTTCTCCAACTTCCTTTAACAGAATGAATATATCAATTAAAGTAAATCAAAGAGGCAAAGTTTAAAAATAACTGCAAAACCATTTTATATGGAGACTC